CAGTCACTCAGGGGAGTATTCAGTCCCTTGGAGAAATCACACTCTAACACAAAACACTTTATTTACAAAATATGTATACTGAAGACTATACATCAGGCCCTGTCACATGGGAAGCTCCAAGTCAAGTCAGGGAGGGCTAAAGGGGCCCACAGGACAAAGCTGCCCACACCAAGAGGAAAAACCCCTAGGGCCTGGGAGCAGGCTCAGCCCACAAAGGACTACAGACGGAGGGGGATGGGTAGGAGTGGAGACCCAGTGCTCAGCAGGGGGCTGGGCGGGCAGGTGGGAGGGGAAGCAGCAGGCGGCAGGACCCCATGGTTCTGAAGGTGAGGGTGTCAGGTCTTGACGTCCAGCAAGGGCATCCGCTTGTGCTGGTAGCCACTCTGCCAGCCGTGCACCACCTGGGGGGGAGACCACCCTGGGCTCAGGCCCCTGGGAGAGAGGCCTCGCTGCTCATCAGTCCAAATGGGGAGGGCTGGGGGCAGAACCAGGCTCTGGTTTCTGGGGCGAGTGCGTGTGAGCGCAGAGCAGACCCCCCTCTGCTGGCTCCGTCCTACCTTTGGGTCTCCCACGTCAGAGAGCAGCTCCTGCTCAGCCTCGTGCAGCTCCTCAGCGGGGTCATAGCTGTACATGGGGAGCAGGTGATGGCGAAGCCTGTCCACCCTGGGGAGCAGGGGAGGGGGCTCAGCTCAGCCCAGGGGCCACCCCCTTTACACATCTGACCGCCCTGTCTCCACTCCCCCAGGCTCTGGGACAAAGGGGCCTCTCCCAGCGGGTGAGCTGAGCCTGGGCAGGAAAACCTAACAATGGGGTGCAGGGATTGCAGGCCGAGGGCCATCTTACATGGGTGCAGGGAACTCTGGTCCTATGAGAAGAAATTTAAGCCAAATGTGGGGAGGTAGTGCTGGGGGCGGGGACACTCACCGCTTTTTCTTCTGGACATACATTACCTGGAACAGAGACAGCACTGTGGGGGCTGGGAGACCGGGACAGCCCACCCACCTCCACACCCGACTGCAGGACAGCTTGGGACGCTGTGTGCAGACGACCCGGCCCACCCAGCCCTGCTTCGCAAAGGTGTGGGTGCATGTGTGAATGAGGGGGCTCCTTACCACGGCCACCACCACCCCGATCAGGGTGATGAGGAAGAAAGGGCCCAACACATAGCCCACCATCGAGTCGCTGTTGGCCTGGGGGGCATTGGGCACTGTGGTGTTACTCATGACATCAGCAGCTGGAGGACTGTGTAGTCAGCATGGGCAGTGCCTCGGGAGGGCGCCTCCACTGGGCTCCCTGGGGAGGAGGAAGGGAGGTTATCAATTGCAGCCCGAGTGACACCCAGCCCCTGGAGTCCTCCCCAGCCCCTGGAGTCCTCCCCAAGAGCTGGTGCTATATGAAAACTTGGGCCAGGCACGGGGACAAGGAATCCTCCAGGTACCCTAACCTCCCAATGACTCTCAGCAAGTCCTGGGTGTAAAGGGGCACCTAGGGGAGGCCCAGACCCAGGGACTTAGTTCTGCCCAGCTCCGACCCCCCCTCCCCCCCGCCCCGGTAAATCAGGCGGGGCCCAATGTAAGCGCAGGTCAAAAAATTTTAAATTATAAAAACGGGGAAAAGTTAACAAAACTTTCCACATCATTGCCCTACCTCCCTGGGAGCGAAAAGTGGGAAA